ATATTTGTAGCAAAGGAAAATGGGGTTTTATTTCTGGGAGCAAGAAAGCTCCTCCAGAGGATGATCCATCTTATGAGAGATGGGTGCAAGAAAACTACACAGTGATTGGGTGGCTTGTGAACTCAATGCAGCCACAGATTAGTCAACATTATCTGTGGATGAACTCGGCATAGTTTTCCCATATTAGTCAACATGTCACTTTAATATGTAGGAAAAACCATAGTTTTCCCAGATCTTTAGCATGAAAACGTTGATATAGAAACATCTTCAATCATCACTACCTATAATCACAATATTGTCAACATAAACCACCAAAACAATGTGTCAAATCTTGGAAGTCAGGCAAAAAATAGAGTAATCAGGTTAACATAATTTTAGGCCAAAATCAATCACTACTTCACTAAACTTACTAAACTAGGCATGTGGATATTGTTTTAGACAATGCCTTATTAAGCAAGCAAGCTAACCCAAACTCCTTAATAAGAATCACAATAGCAATGTTAGATTGGATAGAAGTAGATGCTTATGTCTTCATAGAGAGATGCCTGATGAGCATAAGCAATGGCTTTTGTAGTGAACATTCTACATAACTCAACCATATGTCTGCCACATCTACAATGGAGCATATATGGATCCCATAAATATCCCTGCAATACATATGGCCCTCAAGGACATAGTGAAAAACTTATTATTCATGGTTCTATCATGATTACAACTTCCTATTATTTCAGTACTGCAATGACCACTAATAACTATATGGGTCGGCTACAAAAATCCTGTTTTTCCATTCCATTTTGTTTAGCAAGGATCAAAATTTCGTTACCTATCGGTCGATATGTATCGTATTGGATCCTTCCTGACCCTACAGGGGGTGTTTCGGGTTGGCAAGTGGTTCAGAGGGTAGACCAGCCTTAAACCGGCCCATCTGAACCAGTTTCGGAAAAAAAAACACAAAAAATATTACCGATACAGGCCGGTACACTCTACCGGCGTATCGGCCTGTATCGATATTTTGAACCTTGATGTTTAGTGGTAGTGTGTCACTTCCAGGGAATGACCTAGCATGAGCACAAAAAGACAATTCATGATCCGTGACCATACGAGTTTGGCCAAATTTTAATGCTGTTTGTCAACCTAAAACAACCCTCCTTTATCTAGGCTTGAGACCAGCAGTGTAAGACAAGTTTACACTGGCGGAGTTCATCACTCTAGTAAACTACTTAGCCAAAATGGCCATGCATACAAGTAGCATGTGGCTCTGATGGTCTCATCCTCAAAAGTTTAAGAGAAAAATTCCTCTATGTAAGACAACTCTGGACCACCGAGAATTTGTTTTTTAACTGGCTCAACTTTAGTCTATTCCTGGAAAATAAATTACAACATAAAAAAAAAAAAAACCATTCCTTTAGTTGTTGTTTCATAGTAATGTTAGAGGTAATAGGCTGGTAAATATTAAGTTCTTTGCATAGCCCCATCATCTCAAAAAAATAGTTTTCAAGTGTTTTACCTTCCTATATAAAATAGGTGCAACTTGTAAGGCCAACTATGTTGTATGGAGCAGAGTGTTGGTTATATTCTCATATTCATGCATTACATGCACCTCTTGCATAAGTATAGTAAATTTGGTGATGTGGTTGTCTATAATATATGTATCTAATGGGCAGATCTGGGCTTCTGCCTTGTCAAGCTACCCCTGAAGTCATAGCGAGTGCATGGGCCTGAGCTGAAAATTCCTCCTGGGTTGTGGCTTGTCCTTGTGCTCTATCAGAAGGACAGGATTAGAAATGAAGTCATATGCAGGAACCTAGTAGTTCCAATAGGTGATAAAATGAGAGAAGTAGATTGAGATGGTTTGGTCATGTGCATAGAAGACCATCTACAGCACCTGTTAGAAAAAAGTAATCTATTACAAGTTGAAGGGACTAGAAGAGCTAGGGGCAGACCAAAAAGGACTTGGGCGGAAGTAATAAGAAATGATTTAAAGGCTTATAAGTTAACAATGAAATGAAAGGATATGGCACTGAACAGAATGGAATGGTGAAACAGGATTCATGTAGCTGACTCCATATAGATGGGACAAGGCTTAGATGATGATGATCATAGAGAAAGAAAGATTGAGATAGCTGACAAATCCATGTACTATTGTTACTCTCCAAGTACATCTTTGCTTGCTCCCTTATCCATCTAGAAGTGTCTAAGAAGATTGATTACTATTGAATTTTGATGTAATTGAGTTCCATAGCCAAGTCATAATTAGGGTATCTTCCCGTACCTAATCGAAATACGTAGAAGTACCAAATTCTAGCTATTGGTCAGTCAAGTACTTCAATTTTCCTTTGGCAGTAAAAAATGCAACAGCTGATTTTGCCACTTCCTAATTACTTTTAACTTAATGAAGGTCATTTGGATAAGCAAAAATTCTGGTGACATCACAACAGCAGACTTGGAGTCCATTTTCACTCATTCCTTTCAACATCAAGTTATCAGTAGTGTTTTGAGTTTGGTACTCAATCTCAGACAACCGCACAATCAGAAGAGGAATCAGAAACCCTATTCCAAGATAGAATTTGCACTCACAGGATATCATAATTCTCACCAGAAAAACTGAATCAACCAGCACTAGTGTGTCTCATGATCTGAATCGAATTCTCCCTCTTGGTTCCATGGACAGTTCATCACTTCATCAGATGACTAACAAAGAGAAGGAAAGACAGGGGAAGAAGAGAGGAGGTGATCAGGCTTCAGTCCCTCTTGATATTTCCCAAGTAGAGAACAGAAATATATAAACATCTGGAAACTGAAGAACTAACCAGAACAAAAAGCGGCTGACATTTCCCATGCTTTGATACAGACCTATATACAATGCCACTCAAAATCTAAAAAATAGAGAAAGATAACTAAAAATCTCCTAAATATATGTAATCGAGATTCTCTAGGCAATCAGAAATCATAGGTACAAAATATTTGGGATTAAGGTTTTAGTGAAGTCCAAAGATGAATACTACAAGCATTATTTCTTTTTGTAAATATTTCCTTTTAAGTCCTTTCATAAAATGGCTTAACAGGCAATCCTTACTCATACTTCCTTCACAATTGTGTTTTTGTTAGCAAATTCTTTGTGGGTCTTAAGTGCTTATTTTAATTTCCTTTTCCACAGGTACTTCTGGAAATGCTTCCAACTTACTTTCACCATGTACAGAGATATGGGAAAACATTGTTGAACAAGATTTATGGGCTTCATGTTGTGAGACCAGATGGAGGTATTAAGGTAGAAGAACTTCTAAATGCATAGAAAATGAACAACTGAGGCAGCATACCCTCTTAATGAGATTTTACTCTATGACAGCTTTCCACGAGTACAAACAATTCAGTAATTGTTCTACCTACCAACCTCTCAACTTAACAGAGCCTTACCTCCAACTATGTGGGATAGGCTACATGAATCTTGGCTTGCCATTGCACACTATCAAGAAGCGTGTCTTTTATAAAATTGTAAATTCTTAGATTGTTTCTTATTACTTAAGCCTATTTCTTCTTTGGCCTTCTCCTTACTCTTTTATGGCTTCATTACTTGCACCAAGATATTCCTCACCATTGCAGTCTTTAGATACAATATTTGATACCACCCTACTACCCTAGATCATGACATGCCTTCACAAATCACCAATAAATCCTTTAACTGGTGTGCCACTGCCACCTCTTGGATGCTTCCCACAGCCCAGGCCTTAGCAACCAAATCATGGAGCTAGAGTGAGAGCAGGAGCCAAAATGGAAACATTAAATTGCAAATTTTGAAAAAGTTTAATGATTTGTAGTGGCTTCATGAATACTTATTTTATTTTCGGTATTTAATGAATACTTATTTTATATTGTTCACACACACACGTTAAATTGCCAAATTTGAAAAAGTTCAAACATTTGGAGTGGGATTCATGAATACTTATTTTAACACACACACACATTTTGTAGAAAGATTGGGCTGAATGGGCCTTAACTTGCCTCTTTCTATTGTTTAGTCTTTAACTGTCTTTTCTTATAATGGGCCTTTAGGTATTAGGCCATCTTTTACTCTTTTTGTTTGTGTTTAGCTGCCCCATTGGGGGCATCTATGTAATTTAAATTTTATTAGTTTTCAGCTTTTAATAAAAGTAATCAAGGGGCTGGAGAGATATGATTGGATTCTTCTCCTTCTCCCTCTTTCTCCCATCTTTCTTCTTCCTCTCGCTCTGATTCTCTCTCTCTTACTGTATTTTCTCTTGAACAAACACCATCTTGTCTGTTTATTTTTCTTCTCTTTTATTGGGTCCAACTACTTGTAGTGTTAGTTTAATCAAAGATTTGCATTGATTTTCATAGGCAAGTGTAGCCCCTATATTCAGGCCCAAGATTTTTGTTGTTACTCCATTGAAGGCCTAGTATTTACTTTGGTGCAATTCCATTACTTGATTCTGAATAAGGGCATGACTCCTTTAACTAGCTATCATTCTTTGTATGTTTCATTCTCTCTTTTTTCCATTATATGTAAGAGCTTTGATCATCCCCAAAGCTATGCTACATCTTATTGTTTGCAAGTGAAAAATCATACCATCATAGCTTTACACCAAGTTGGCTGGTTGAGGTTGTGATAGGCAAATACCACTTCTAATAAAAGGGAAATTCTATAAGGGCACTAAACAAATGCCTAGAGGTGCAGAGTGTAGGTATAGCATATGTTTGATATGCTTGTACCTTTTAAGCTAGGTTTTTATAATAAGAATGTTATAAATAAAGGTGGAAGTAACATTATATCATGCTCCCCATTATATATTAACATAATATAAAGGGTGAAAACCCTCCGAATTTGTTTATTGTAGTTTAAAAAAGAATGCTACAAGTGGAAGTGGGGGCATCATAGCTTTGATTTCTTTTAATGTATTACATTCTTTTGAATATGATATGAAACATTTGTTTACATTAATGCTGTGCAATTTATGTGAATTGTTTACTCTGAAATGTTGATTTGCAACTTTGCAAATGATATATTTATGGCTGATGATACTTATATAACTATAGATGATGATACTTAATGTGATGATACTTATTATTATTATTATTATTATTATTATTATTATTAGTAGAAAATATGAAATTTTCTAATTTCTATTTTTAGTATATTTTTATTTATATTATCTTATTTTTAATTCTTTATTAATTAAAAATGAATGTTACTTAGTCTAATGGTAAAAGCTTGGGTCAGCAAGCATGAGAACGTGGGTTAAGCCTATGAACAACCACTTTGTGCAAAACAATGCCAAAGGTTAAAACCAATGTTCAAAAGGCGTGGGAGGTGTATGCCTGGAGGCACGCTTCTAGGCAAGGTGCCCCTAAAATGCCATGAGGCGTGTGCCAAGGGCACTGACACCTCTGAGGCATACGCCTCATATACTTTTTTCATGAGGCATACACCCCATGTGCCTCATGCACACCTCATGTAAAAAGACAAAAAAAGAAGAAAAAAGAAAGAAGAAAAGAGAAAAAAGGAAAGGAAAGGAAAAGAAGGGGAAGGGGAAGAAAAAGAAAGAGAAGAATAAAGAAAAGAAAAGGAAAGGGAAGATAAGGGGAAAGAAAGTGGGCCGGGGGCCCCCCAGCCCCCCTTTTCAATGCAGCCCCAAGACCCCCCCCCCTCCTCCTTCAACTAGTGCTATGCATCTTCATTTTTCTTAATATAAAAGATTTTTATTAAAAATAAAGAAAAAAGAGATTTTTCTTCCTCATCCCCCTCCCTCCTCTTAAGCCTCCTTGTGTTCGGGAGGCTTACGCCTCTTACGTTCTGAACTATGCCTCACGCCTCTAGGTAGTGGAATGCCTCGTGTCATGGCTACGCGTTTTAAAACATTGGTTAAAACTTAGGACCATATCCAGCCTACCCTTCCCAAGGCCCCAAATAGCTTGAACTAACATTGGATAATGGCCATATTAATTAAAAAGCAAATCCATTTTCGGGAAGCTTACACCTCACACCTTGGGATGGTAGAATGCCTCAAAACACGCTTCTGTGTTTTAAAACATTGATAATGAGACCAAGCTAGCTTGAGACTCCTAACTTACATAACTTCGTAGCTAAGGCCCATGTCCAGAAGCCTAATTGTCAAGCTGGGATGAAATGCCCAGCCTGAAAATATCACAACATAAGCTGAGGTTGGCTCAATAATATCAATATCATGGTAAGGAAACAAGGGGAAATGAAAAGAAATCCAAGAAATGGATCAATGATACCCAAGGTTCAAAGTATCAATACACCATATCGTATCACGGAGCCCCCAGAACACTGAATACTTAATGCTTGCATACATGGCCTATTTTAAAGGTTAATACCCCTCCTAAGGATGTCCTGAACCAATTTTCAAAACTTAATTCTTAGTGTAAGTACTTTGTCCATTTGAAAATGCCCGATACACAAATTGTGTGTCAAGCATATTGATGTTTTGAACCATGATGACCATTGGTATCTACAAAACCATCTTACAAACTTTTAGTTCAATAATCTTTTGGCTCCCATTTTAGAAAATTGATTGAACCTTTTCTCATGGGCAGGCATATTTTTCCGTAATGAGGAACATATTTCATTCAGATTTATGCATTCATAAGCGCTTCGCTTTGAAGGGTTCCTCACAACGCCGATCCTGCAGTAGAGTGGTGATTGACGAGGCTACCACATTCAAGGATCAGGATCTTGATTTTGTTTTCTACCTTGATCCATCAACTCGACACCAGGTCTTAACGTAAGCATGTAAATTACTTGCTTCATTAAGCATGTTACTCATTCATGAAAAAGAAAATTACAAAGAAGATGAGAAAGGGAGTGTGTGGTTTTTCAGAATTTTTGCTCATCTTTATTGTTGGGATATTTTGGTTTCTTTGAATACAGGATGAATTATTTTTTTTTTTAAGCTTCTAAGGAAGAGTTAAGTGTAAAAAGTGGATCAAGCTGCACTTTGTCCCTTTGTCATACACATTGAACATGTGCCAGGCATTTGGGTTGCGTCTAGGATATTTTCTTAGAAAACAAAAGTTAGAAGGATCCTAACAGGATGACTGTCTAAATGGTTACAAAAATATTACAGAGGTCCCCTTGTTTGTATTACCTGAGAGGGTAACATTTTGGCAAAAGAGATCTCCTAGATGGAACCAGTTGAGTGGTGCTTCCTCACAATCCTACATGTCATAGGATATAGAGCAGGTTTGAAGATGATCAAATCATTCATGTGTAATAGGCTAAGAGAAAATAAAGATTAAGAGAGGAATATAATAGAGAATGATAGTAGATGAGTTATATCTTTTTTTTTTTCTAGTCAAGTATAATCACACTAAACTCAATACAAGGCCCTCAAATGAGCCACACTAAAGTAGAAAATTATTTTGGGCATTACAGCCAAAGGACAAAAGAAACCAAAAAGCAATATTTTTAATTTCCAAATCATGTATATAACATTGTTATGGACTTCAGCAGACTTTTTTCCCCAATCTAAACACTCATGCACTCTGCAATTCCTTCCTAGAGATGGTAAGACTTTGAGACTAAGTAAAACTTCTAAAGGACTTTCTACAAATAGACATTTGACTCTACATATCATCTGAGAAGAAAACTTCTTAGACCAAGACCTATCAAAATAAATCCTAATATAGAAAATCCCTTCAAAGACTAGTCTGATTTCTATAAATCAGCAAAATCCATGTCCAAATCATACAATCTTGAACTTTTTGGATAGATAACAAGTAACCGTTCAATGATACCAAACTGAAATAAAGGGGTAAGTCTGATTTCTATAAGAAGTGTTGTAAATTTGAGTAATGAACTTTGAGATGGTTCTCTATCTGTTTTAGGGCCAAGGTCCAGTTAATTAACCTGCAACCTTGAATATTAACTCCTTGGATGGTTTGTTACAATTCTCCCATCCACAAGCAGATGTTCTTTGTCTAAGGGATACTGGTTTATTCTTGATTTTACCAGGCAAATTAAACATGATTGTGAGTTTCTGGAAGCAGCAGGCATCATGGGTTACAGTTTCTTGTTGGGACTGCATGTTGGAACTCCATGTCAAGGTGATATGTCATGCTCTAGAATATTGATCACCATTCACTGCAGGACTTTGTGAATATGTTCACAGATGTTTATGACTTCAATGCTCCATTAAAGACCTAATGTTTCAACATATCTTGCAATTATACTATAATATGGTTTAGTCATGGACATAGAAGACCATACATCACCTGTTAGAAAAAGTGATGTTACAAGCTGAAGGGGCTAGCAGAGCTAGGGGCAACCCAAAAAGGACTTAAGTGGAAGCAATAAGAAATGTTTTAAGTGCCCATAATTTAACAATGATGGATATGACATTGAATGGAATTGAATGGCAAAACAGCATTTGTGTACCTAACCCCTTTATAGATGGGACAAGGCTTAGATAATGATGATTGGGAATCACTACAAGATTGTAGAACTATTTTTCCTATTTTTTGGTAGCATCTTAAGTTTGAATCCAACTTGGTGGACCACGTTGGGGTTAGGGCCAAATTAGATCCTAGGAGTCAGACTCCCAGTCCAAGGCCTAGCTACCCACATGGACTGGGCTTGGGGCTTGGGCCGTGAATAAGTTATCAGAGAATTAATTATATAGTATGCATACAAGTATATAGTGTGAATATAAACAATGTCATTACATATAGTACCTACATGTTTTAAAAGGTGAGACACACTCAGGTTGAATCAGGCTCAGCCTGACCATAGGCTACCTAAGTTTAGGGGTGCAAGTCAGGTTTGCCCGAGTATTCATTTTACACTGCTTTGGATTTGGGCTTTCTGGCCAGGCCCATTCAAATTTTGACGAAACTGCAACCTTATCCCACCCAAGTTGCACCCCCTACATAATTTCTCAACCCAAGCCCAACCTGGCAAGGTCTGAGGCCTGAAAAATCCAAGCTCAACCTATGGACATGCTCAGATTGGGATGCCCAGGCTGGACCCTTTGTAAAAAGATGACCTTTTAATATTGCTTCAATATATTCAGCTTAACATAAAAAATATTAATTTCTTATAAAAATTAGGATAGAATTGTTATTCATCAAAAAAAAGGGATAGAATATTTAGATGCATGAAGGAAAATATTACATGATCCTATCAGGATCATTTATATTCGTTTCTCTTTTACATTGTACCTATAATAGCATTGGACCTTTGCGTTAAATTTTTGCTTGCTATTTTTATTCTTATTTTCTATCTCCTGTAGATTTAGAAGGAAGTCCCACCCAAAAGAACTCATTACTCAATGAATATTCAAGGACATGTGAGGAGCAAGTCTCAACTCCTGATAACAACTATCAACAGCCTCACACTCACAGGTACAAGATTTCTTGTTTTTCCATCGAAAAAGGGGTATTTTTGTATGAGGTGCTTTCTTAATCTTGTGAGTACAATGGTGTCTCTATTAGAGTCAAGAGTATTTAATCAATATAAACTTCACTTTAGATGGTTTCTATATCAGAATGGGTTCATTTTTTTGCATTTCTTTTTTGTTTCTCCAGAAAAAAAAGGGGATTTTAGATTCATCACATGGAATGATGTTTTACATCAGTCAGATGTATCAAGAACTTGGTAGGTCAATAGTTAAGGCACAATATTTCAAAGAGCATAGAAATTGGATATCTTTCTTGGCCAATTCTGTAGCAAAATGAGCAAAAACATCGACTGCTAAAGCACTTTAAAGGCCTAAGGACACAATGTACACAAATGAAATTAGGATGTTATGCTATAACTAGTGAAATCTGTGTTGAAACCTATCATTTGGACCTACTTGAAAGGATTAAATCAGAAAATAGATGTTTTCTGATTTAATTCAGTAGAAAAAAGAAGAGAGAAAGAAGGGTCACGAAGAGAAGAGGGAAGAGAAGAAAGGGTTCGGCTGAATTATGTTTCTAGCCGCCCACTAAGTCTTATTTATATTGTAAGCTATTACAATGACTAGTTACCTTAATACCTTTACTTAAAAATAAAAGGAAGACAAACAAGGCTCAACCAGATCAACTATTTTAACTAAAAAAAAAAAAAAAGATAAACAGCAAATATAAAATGTGGTGTTGGAACCCCACACACACTAAAAGCCTATCAGCTATCTCTACAGACCCTATGAATGGACCGCTTTTGCATCCATCTACCTGTGCTGAGCTTTATAGCACTAATTAGTTAATGCCTCGTACTACAGATACCTATTTTGTTTGGGACCCACCATCGACACGGTAAGTCTTGGGGCATCTAGACTGGGTTTTCTTTTTATTTCATTTTGAAAAACCAATTTTGGTTTTATCTGCAACTAAACAACAGTCTATCTAAAAGAATGTAACCAACATGAATGTCACATCTTGAAAGCCTTTCTTCTGGTTATTTTATTTGAATTAGGAAGCTAAAATAGACTTGAATTGTAATCAAAGGATATGCACCAACTTCCTAATCTGAATTAGGAAGCAACATAATTTTAGAGAAAGAGTGCTACCGGCACCACTCAACATATATTTTATTTTGAATAAAAATTGTTTGAAGGAGAAGCTTCTTGTCTGAGGACTTTGCTTATACATATTAGGTTTCTTGAAACTGTACCGGTTATTATTTATAGGTTTTTTTGTTATTCCTGTTGAACAAATCTTCACCTGAGCTGCATCGTCATTGTTAGAGTTCTGAAGAATTTATGCATTTTAGGTATTAACCTCAGGACTAACCTGTAGCAATGGCATTTTACTTCACTATCTAATCCAACATATAATGTAAACTGAACCTTGTTAGCCCAATAAAACATAGAGGCTTATTAGAATATCAAAAAAGAATTACAATATTCTATATAGTTATTTGATTGTCATAGTATGGAAATGAATGTGCGTGTGTATTGGGTGGGGGGAGCGAGGGGTCAAAGTAGGTGAAAATGAAATGAAAGAAAGTAAACTACCCATTTGGGAGTGCTTATTTTTAATTTAGGCCAGGACTACACCAGTAAGCACATGTGTGCGTTTGGATAAAAAGACGAATAAGTGCTTATAAAGGCAAAATTTTTGGCTTGTTTTTAAGGCTTTTTTACAAGTGTTTATTGCACTTCTGGCCCGTCTCGGCCCACCACATAATTTTCAAAATACCTAAATTCCCCCATTTGAAATAAGCGCTTTCTCAAAGGGTGCAACTTGGGCAGGCCCAGGCTGAAATTTTGCATGGAATGAGCTTGGATTTTTGGTCCTCGGGCTGGGTTCAGGCCCAAGAAATTGGTTTTTTTCTTTATTTTTTGGGCCGGACCTGGGCCTAGCCCTTAGGTATCCCAAGCCTAGTCCAACTATATCAATCTGGAACCAGGCCCAACCCGAATGTACCAAATTATAGTACAGGCTGGGGTCGGGTTGGGAAGATCAGGCCTAACCTCGGCCTCAAGTCTTAAATCCAAATTTTAGTGCTGGGCTCGAATTGACCATAAACCTAGCCCAACCCGCCAGACTTGCACCCCAAATTTAAGGACTCACAATTTAACCGTGGACATGACTCGTCAAAGAGTGGAATAACAAAACTGAATTTGGCATAGCCAACCCCGTTTAGTTGGGATAAGGCTTTACTATTAATATGGGGGCATGAATCTGCTACCAACGAGCTATTCCCGCATCTCCACCCATGAGACATTACAGCTTTACATTGGGAATATCTCCCCTGTCATTCACGGGGAGATGTTCTCAATACACGGTGGTGGTGCTCTATGAGTAGGTATGTGGGACCAACTTGTAGGTAGCAAATCCCGAGTTGGCTCATGCTTTTGGAAAGTCAAGTTACTCGGTTCATGTTTTAGGTATTAAAATTCTTTGGGCCTTATACGCAAAGTTTTGAAATATATCTAAAATTTTAATATTGTTAAATTTGTTCTCTATTTTCTTATTTTACAAAATGAAAATAGTAATTTACCTAATCTCCAACATTGTGGCAAAAAGTCTTGTCATTTTTTCAGAGTGTAAGGTGAACCGACACCTGAAATGAGGGCTTTGGAAATTTTGAATGGGGGACAGTTGGGGTGTCGTAATTTATTCCACACAAGAACATGGAATGGTTCTCTACATGGCCAAGTTTCAGAAAATATTAATGTCCTTATTATGTACATGCATTAGGTTTGGCTTGTATGTGGTACATGAATTAGGTTGGTTTTGGTTTATTATTTATGCTAATCTGAGAGGTCAGGTCGGTTTTGGTTTGATCATTTATACAACTGATCAAAACCGAATTGACCCGGCCATAGGTGCATATTAATATTTTATATTTCAAATTATATTTTTTTTAATATGGGAGAGTGAAAATATTCTTATATTTCCTAGTTTAAAATATTTTATATTGTATTTTTTAATTTACTTTTTAATAATACCATTACAATTCTTTAAATTTAAATTTAATTTTTAAAGTTAAATTTTTTGAATCAACCAACCCAAACTGATATAACCTAAGTTGGCTAATTTTCATCATTGGTCGGTTGGTTTCAGGTGACCAATTCCCTAACTCGACCAAATTGGCTCGGTTGGCCAAATAGCCTAAAACCGAATTGAACCATGAACACCCCTAGTAACTTAAATTTGTACAAACTTGTAAAATCATAAATAACATAAAATAATGTAAATAGACCAAATTACCCTTATTCATACAACCTTTCCTAACACTCCCCCAACTTAAAAGTCACCTACAACCCTATCAAGCACTTGGTGAACCAATCTACCCATTGATCATCTGACCACACAAAGCTTGTAGCCAACAATTTTTTCCAAACAAATGACAAACGATTTCTATATGTTTTGTTCTTTTGTGGAAAACTAGTTCTTTTGCGGAAACTTGATCAAAGACATTGTGCACAATTGCCTAATTATCACAATATAATTTCATGGGAGTGGATGTATTATATCCAAGTTCCCATAGCAAATGTTGAAGCCAAACTCACACATGGTGTATGCTATCACTTGATATTCTACTTTTGCACTACTTCTTGCCACCAACCCTTGCTTTTATATTTTTCCAAGTCACCAAATTACCACCAACAGATTTACACTATCCAATAATGGATCTTCTATCACCCACTGAACCAACCCAATACGCATTAGTATAGCTCTCAACCCTAAGTGGACATTTGCTTTATATAATAAACCATGACTAGCTCATCATCATAATCCAAACCTCATCTCAACTATTAGTCAATTGTCAGAAATAATAGGGTTAGTGTTAGTTAATTTTCAAATAGTAAGGGTATACTTAGTTAATTAGCTAAACCATAAGAATAATTTAAGAAATTTACCCTTTATTGTACAGCCAAGTTAAACTTACAAATCCAGGCCCGAGGTAACTACTTCAACCCATATAATGATTTTTTTAACTTGCACACCTTCTGCTCATTACCTTTGGCACAAAACCCGAAGGCTAAATCATATACACCTCCTTTAAATCACCATTCAAGAATGCATTTTTTATGTCTAATTGGTGAAGTTCCTAATCAAGATTAGCAACCAATAAAGAAAGATTCTGATAGAGTTTATCTTGGCTACTAGGGCAAAGGTCTCTACATAATTCACTCCATACACTTGTGTAAACCCTTTTGCCATAAGTACGACTTTCTACCTTTCTATCATACCATCAACCCTATGTTTCACTATGAACACCCACTTACATCCCACTAATTATTTTCCTTCAAGAAGGTCTACTAATTTTCAAGTGTCATTCTTGTGCAAGACATTAATTTCTTCCTTTAATTTCTTCCTTCATTACATATGTCCATTAAGTTATAAATAAAACTTTAGCCACGATCTTAGGAACATAAATGTTGTCAATGGAGGAAAGATAAGCACGATATAAAGGTAAATATAATCATAATACACAAAGTAAGATATAGAACGATTAGCAGCATAAGATTTAACACTCTTTCTCTTGACAATAGAAATAACAAGAACATCAATAGCAGAATGATCAATATCAAGAGGATGAGGCATATCAATAGGAACAAGTGTACCAAGCTGAGGAGGATTTAACTTTAGAGAGTCTGATGGTGTTGGCAACATAGTTTTAGGTTCCATGGCTCTTGAACTTTGCTGGCCCTTGTGGTGATGAAGAAAAACATGGAATGGAGGAGGATCAGGAAGAGAGGGTAGTTAAACCTAAGTGTGTTTCTCCTCAACCCTACATTCCCATTAAGGATAAATAGGGAAAAAAGGTTCACTCTTAGAAAATGATACATCCATGATGACATAAACTTTTGGGAAGCAGGATCATAGCACCAGTACCCCTTTTGAGGCAAAGGGTAACCTAGAAAAACACAAGGGATTAGCACAAGGGTCAAACTTACCATGAGTAGGAGACAAGTCATGGACAAAACAACGACGTCCAAAGATATGCATTGGAAAAGAGAACAAAGGGGCTTTGGGAAATAAAAGTTGATGTGGGTCCTTTTACTCTAGCAATCGAGATGGCATACTATTGATAATATATGCAACATACATAACAATATCCGTCCAAAAATGTTTCAGAACAAGCATATGTAATAATAATTCACAAGCAACCTCAAGAATATAACGATTTTTCCTCTTAGAAACACCATTTTGTTGAAGTATCTTAACACAGGAGCTTTAGTTTAGGGATCCACATGAAGTAAAGAACTCTGTGAGATCACATAAAGCAAAGTTTGTCTTTGTCATTCACTCTCTTTTAGAAGTCACCCTTCTTAAAAGAACCCCCTCCATTTCCACCTGTACCTCCCTTGACTACCAGGGTAATTGTTTCCCCCTTTGAACAATTCATCACACTTCTTTTATTCTCCTCAGATTGGACTAAGGCATAGACCTCCTAGATTGAAGGTAAGTCCTTACTTCCCAAGATTTATACTCTAATAGACTTATATAAAGGATTCAATCCCAAGAGAACAATAAATACCCACTACTAGGAGACAAGGGACTTATAAAATTTTGCATCTTCATCACAGTTCCAATTCACACTTTGATAGTGGTCCAACTCTTTCTAGATTGATGTCAGATCTAAGTAATACATTGAGAGACTCCTCTCTCCCTACTTACAAGTAGATGATTTATCTTGCAATTGGTATATCTTTGCATAGTCCCTCTGCTCTGAATAGGTAGATTTTGCTTGTTCTCATATTTCACAAGTTGTTTTAACCCACATAAATGTCTTTCTCACTTATGGTAGCAAAGAAACCAAAAGCCATGGCATCACCCCCATACTATTCTCTTGATCCCACCTATCATGTTTAGCACTTCTAGCTTTTGATTCCTTCACTTTACCATTGACATACCCTATTTTCCCCTAACAGTAATGTAGAGCTTAATTCCCCTAGATCATTCAAGGTAATTTAGTCCATTAAAGGGAAAAATAAACTCAGTAATTACAACCCACCATACTTCCAAATTATTTAATCACACCAACCACCAGGACAGACCACAAATAGTGAAGCCACACCAAAAATGGTCAAAACAAGTTATTTGTGACCTATAGAAATTCAATCTCTGGTATAAGGGTTATACGATCCACAAAAAAAATGGTCAAAACAAGTTATTTGTGACCTACAGAAATTCCATTCTCTGGTATAAGGGTTACACGATCCACAAAAAAAGTGATTTGAAAATCACAATACTTTCTCATAGCATCCAATTGTCTTAATTCATAGTTTTTTCTTGTATATGACCCAAAAGAAGGTAGAAAAAAAAAACAAAAAACGTGTATCAGTCGTAGGTTTATCCTTTTGATCTTAGTCTAGAGAAGATAACAAGATGAAGGAGAAAAAATTTGTTCGATCTACTCTCAAGCCCAGTAGTTTCGCTTTAATATCACATTAGCAAAAAAAATAGTAGAAATATGGAAGAATAATAGGAGAGAGAGAGAGAGAGAGAGAGAGAGAGGGAAGGGAGAAGAGAAGAGAAAAGGTTGAGAGGTGAAATCAGTTCTAGTGGTACCATGTTTTATTAATATATATAGAGTGAATAAGGCAAAAAGACTTTTATGCCCTTGTGGCACTTCTAGTACAGAAAATAGTTTTTCGAACAATTTTATTTTTCTCAACCAACTTTTTATAAGTTGCTGCATCATTCTAACTTTCTCACTCAGTTGTCTCCAAGTGGTCAATCTCATGCCATAAAGAGTTCATAGTAGAAAAGTAAACCAACACAAACTTTTGCCCTACTTAAGATTAGTTACTTCACTCCTTAACTCATATGCTCTAGCAACATCAAGAGGTTAAGAGTATATTTCTTTCGCATTATCCCAAATCTCCTTAGTTATCTTTAGCTAAAGGTAATTTCGATTAATGAGAGGTTACATGGCCAAGTCATCACAATGTAATTTTCTTGGACCCATTTACCATGAGAAGCATCCTTAATGTCTGGTTTCTTAGTGTCACTAGTCAAATACTATATCTTTCCTCTAATTGCCATCATGGTTGTTGGCACCACCAGTAGGGACTTTTTGATTCCCAATCGTGTTTTCCCTCTTCCTTTCCTTTCCTCTCTTCTCTCTTCTATTTACCTCCTCTTTTCTTCACTTTCTACTAAGCAAATTTGGTATCAAAGTGCATGTATTAGACTTGAGGACAAATCAATTAGGTGTTCTTCCTCTTTTCATGTTGTTTTCTAGATCAAAATTCAAAGAAACTCATTTACAATTGGTTTAAGAAAAGTTTTGTGTTTTTTTTTCTCTTCCTCTTGGTTGTTTGCCGCCACAATTAGAAAGGAAATGGAAGTTAATACCATAAATATAGGACTTAATGGGAAGGAATAGAATGAACTTAAAAATAGTACCCAAAAAAATTACATTTTTACCTTCACAATAAAGAGCAACCAAATTAAAAAATAAGGGTATCTTAGTCAAGAAAAAGTCCAAATTCTAGACCTCATTTCCACTTTTAATAATACTATAAATATAGATATAGATATAGATACAGATATAGATATAGATATATTAGAAAATGCTACTTTTGATGAAATACAAATTCAGTCTAACTTGGCAAAATTGCATCCACATTAATGCACAACACCCAATTACTTAAGGGCATTAAATAAATGAAAAGGCAAGTAGCATAGAATAAAATTGCATCTTATTTCCTATAGTTATAAATAAAGATTACCATATAATATTTGCATTCTATTTTATCAATGCTCAATACAATTTATTAGATTTATTATGTATACAACTATAATGGTGTATATACTCAACTGAACTCAAATAAACCTTGGCTACAAAAATCCTTTTTAGCCATTGCATTATTTCAAGCACCATATCTTTTGTCAAACCGTAAGTCCTTAGGTGTTTCTTACTACAAATTATAACCTTTTAAATGTATCTCTTTTAGAATCCTTACCTATTATCCTGTCCATTTTTTCATAGTTATGCAAGTTAACTTAAATGTTTTATTGTAGACCTAATAACCTCGGTGTAGAAATGCCTGCCCGTGCTGTCCGGCTTCAACGAAATGAGACACATCCAAAAGTAAACACAAGGGAATGTTACAATGTTTTTCTATACTTTGGAATTATCAATACTTTTCAGGGATACAATGTGTTGAAGCGTATTGAGCATGCTTATAAATCAATACAGTACGACTCACGATCAATTTCAGCTGTAAATCCTGGAGTTTACTCAACACGTTTCCAGGATTTTCTCTGTAAAGTGTTTCCAATAGATGATTCAGACTTCCAAGCTGTACAAACGAAAGAGACAAGAGATGACCCACTATAATATATGGTGGGCGCTAAGATGTATTATATCATTTGTATAAATAATTATAGCTATTGTATTTTCTATTTTATTCCCATTTAGGGATTGATTTGTAATTATAGAACAATATAATACATAGATAGATTGAAATATATATAGACTCTTTGGGGTGGGGACAACTAAATCATTACACCCCTTTAGAACCAGCTTTGTTTCTCTCTTTTCTCCCTCTTTATTGTAAACCATATTCTAACTTCTAACATACTTTAAAGCAAGTTTAGTTAGGATTTTTGGAGAAATCAAGTTGGAACTTGGAAGATTAGAAAGATTAATCAAGAGAGAAGGGACCAAATCTTTTTCCTCTAGTTGGTCTTAATGTAAGAACTGAATACATGTTTTAATTTTTCATTAATCTTCTTTGTTGGACCGTATATTTATATAATGAAGAAAAAGAGTTTTGTTAGGTTCATATTTACCATCTTACTAAAAAAAAATTGGGTTTTTGTGGAACTATTCTAGATGGTGTTTGATATCAATGTCATTTCTCCAAGGTGTTTCCTCCAAGTTAGTGCCATGTAGACATTTTCTCATATCCTCTATTTGGTTTAGTATTTTTCAAGAGTTTTCCAACCATTACAATCAATAGTTTCACCTTGGTTGTGTGTAAGTAGCTTCTTGAGAAAATGTCAAAATGAAGCTTCTTGTATTGGAGAAAACATTTTCTCCGTTTTGCCCATGTAGCACCTAATGGCACCAACTAGCTAACACCATATAATATTAAAAAAAAGTACACACAACTTGGAGTACTTTATCATTTCTCAAGGTGTTTCTATTGCCTAAGAAAACTGCACTGGTACCAAACATACCCTAGTCAGGGTATAGTTATTATAAGAAAGACATTATAAGAAATGCATTTTGAATTTCTAAAAAACATTTGGAATTTTGTTTATCCCTTTACTTTCTTTCTAATCATCAAACTTGAGTACAAATTGCATCGTTAAAGTAAAACATTATGGCCTCATTCTCTTTTCAGTAAATACTTACCTAGGTAAATGCAATTATCTAGGTAAGTTTTTCTTGGAAACACTTACCCAAGGTAAGTGCATTTACCCATATTCTTTTATTTCCTAGGTAAATAAGGCAATGACCATTTTAGTCATATAAATCTATTATTAAAAGGGGCATTTTTGTCTTATTCAAGTGTTGGCAACTTCCCCCTATGTGGGAAAGTTATTTATCCACCTAGGAGATGAGTATCACTTTTCTGGGTAAGTGATACCCAAGAAAATAAACTTTCCCTGGTCTCCACATAAAGCTAAAAAAAGAACATGGAATTCTTTGTCAATGGGAATCAAAATCCCATTGACCAACTTCCCCCCCAACCTATTTGATTTATTTCTTGTTATATATGCTATCCATTTTAATGATGGAAACGGCTCCTAATAAACTAGTTGTCTATTGGAATCAAAGTCCTTTGAGAGTCATACTTTTGTTCTACCTAACTTTGATGTAGCATACTCTTTTGTAACCTCATCAAAATCTCTATTGCTTAAGTATTAGAGAATGTAGGATCAATTTGAACCCTCACCCTTGACACTAGTAGAGGATAGTCCTAATCTTGACTCTACACCTCATGTACCTATAGATTGCTTTTCTCTTCTATTGATGCAATTGATATTCCAACTACTTACAAACAAGTTCATTGTGCATTATGTTAGAGATAAGCTATGGATAATGAAATTCAAGCATTACATAAAAATGAAACATAGGATCTAGTGCCATGGCCTCCAAATGTATTTATAATTTATCACAATTTGATTTTTTTCTGCGAGAATTAAGTCTAATGGTTCAATAGATAACATGAAGCTGGCTTAGTAGCTCAAGAATATAAACAAGAGTATGGTGCGAATTATAAATAAAAAAAAAAACTTTATTTAAGTTGTTAAAATGGCATCAATCTAGTTCTTCTTGCTCTTACATTTATTGAAGGTTAAACTATATCATAGATGGATGCCAAAAATGCTGTTTTACATGGGCATTTGAAGAAGAGCATGGTTCAAAGTATCAATAGGCACACATAAATTCAAAGGAATGATAGTCATGAATTGAAATTGCTTTATCTTTAGGAAAGGTATTAACCCTTGAATATGGCCATTGTAATAAATCCTTGTATTTAATGTACTCGTGACCCTTAAAGTTGATATGTTTTGTGCAATAAGGTGCAATATATATCGATACTTTGAACCTTGAAGGAGACTGCACATAACACCCCTCTAAGGTATTTTAGTAACACGTTTATGGTTTGTAAGCTGAAATCATCGTGTGGATTGAAACAAATTAAAGAGCTTAGCTTGAACATTTTGGAAAGTAGCTAGCTATGTTCAAAGCTACCATGATTATTCCCTATTTATCCATATTAGTGAATTGGGCTCTATTTTCCTCTTATTTTATGTGAATGATATTCTTACTATTGGATACAATTTGCAAGGTATTCAATAGCTGAAAGACTAAACTATATGTTGTATGAATTTTTCCATAAGGTTAGTCTTGCCCATGGTTCTTTATATTGATGGGCATTTTGCCTTGTAGAGATGGAGATATTTCACTAATTTTATTAAAGTATTTGAAAAATCTAAAAAGTTAGAAAATATTTCTAGAAACATGGAATTAATTAATAAACCTACAACGAATCATCAAAAGTATAACCGCAAATTTAGAGCTCAAAAAACATTTTAAGAATACTTTTTTGTAGTTACATGAATTTTTCTTTTCCTTTTGATTTATAGTGAATAAGTATATCATATCAAAATAGTAAACCAATTATCTAATCACCAATTCCCCATTGATTCTTTTGAAAAAAATATATTTTTAAAAAATTATGATGATTTATGAAATATTAAAATGTTTTTAATAATATTCTTAAATTTTAATCCTTAAACATATTGTTTACCAATGAAATCTAAAATATCACATATATTGGAGATATCATGGTAGTGTTTAGAGTTGGATAGTATTTTCTCCTTTAGTCGTACTTTATGATCTTATATCTTTGCTATCTAAACAGAAATTTGAACTACTTAGCACATTTGATGGCAAAGAGGGCTAAATCTTCTGTTATGAAAGGCTTGATCACTTGGGGCCCCTTACTTTCTTGGTTTGGAGTCACATTCATTTCCTTGTGATTACATAGTGAACCAGTAGAAATATATTCGGAATCTTATCAAGTCAGCAAATTTGATTACTAACAAACAAGTTAATACACTCTTTGAGCTCAATCTAATTAAAGCCTTTTAAAGATGATGGACCTCCCCTCAAAGATCATATTCTATATAGCCCACTTGTTGGGAGCCTTGTCCATCTAACTATAATTCAATACAATATTGCTTATGTTGTATAGATGGCCAATCTAAGATAATCTCAATTTGGACTAGTATAATTATGAGATGAGGTTTAAAGATCACATGATAATGTGTTGAACAATTGGCCAAGAACTGGGATCCCACTACTGAATGGACCCCATTATGTTCAATAGTGGGTCCCAATCTTGAAAATACGGGACAATTGCAAGTCAAGGTAGAAGGCCACCCAAGGCATGCTACTAATATAATGCAAAAGAAAACACAGTTTGGGTTAACGAACTAGGGTTGGAGATTACTACAAGTCTATTCTCTTAGAGGGTCGGACCACCACCAATTTCCTCTAGCTCTATTCTTTTCCTTTTGGGTACTCCTTAAGTCCATAGTCCTTATTTGAGAAGTATTCCTCTAGCTCTCCGGTAGGTTATTTTCACTCTAGGAGGAATTTGCATCAAGGTGACCCTCTCTTTTCTAGCATTTTCATCCTTGCCAAGGAGATGCTCAATAGAGGTCTCAATATCTAGTTTTTAGTAATGGATATGTTCCATACTATTACTTTGCTCTTCCCAAAGGTTGTATGAAGGTTACTCACAGTCTATATGCATATGATACTATTATTTTTCCTTGAGGTGAGAAGTGGGGTTTCCAAAATTTTGTGGTTTTTCTAATAATGTATGAGGAAGCTTTGGGTTAAATGGTAAATAGAGATAAGTCTTGTTTTATTGTACATTCTAAAATGCCCTTTATGACAGTTAATTTGATTCCACAAGTAACTGGTTTCATGCAAAAGATTTCTCCTTTTTATGTACTTGGGAGCTCCTATTGGCATAACTAAATTGAGAATTCAAGATTTTGATCCTATTGTAACCAAAATTCAACAGAACATTGAGGGGTGAAAGGCAAAACTCCTAAGTTCAGGTGGTAGACATGTTTTAATCCACATTATTTGTGTTACTTCTCCTCCTAAGGCAATAATAAATTGGATTCATCAATTATTTACTAACTTCTTGTGGGGAGATTCTGCCTTTGAAAATAAAACTAACTAGATTGGATGGGCTAAAATATGTAAACCGATTCAAAAGGGCGACCTTGGAGTAAGATCTCTTGTCAATATCTTTAGGGCTTTTATTCATAAATATTGGTTCAAGCTCTTTCAAAGGAAAAGTAGTTGGACTAAGTCCGTGTAAACAAAGTATGTCAAATCAACTCTATGTGCATTACCCTTTTTTTTGGTATTTGGTGCCATGCATCATTAATAGCTTCCCTTGACCCCCTTTTCTTCAAATACTGGTTGCGGAATTCGATTCGACATCAATGCTGGAACAAATCAACTAACACACCAACAAGCCAGTCTTCAATGGTTTCTGATGAAGGAAGATTTGGCCCGACCTCGTAATCACTCAACACGTGGCAAAGGCAACAGCTCGGTACAATAGCGCGCCCAAAGCGCGAACACCGAAAGGGGGGGACCAGCAATTCGAACTCCCTACCAGCAGTCCGAACTCCCTACAAGGAGTCCGAACTCGCCCTTAGGCCCCGAGCCTCACACAAGGCAACAACCCGAACTGGCCCACCCCATGGCAGTTCGGGACACTCCCCTATCCGAACTCAAGACTTCACATCGCTCACCACTCCAACACTTCGCCTCCAGGATACTGAACTGAA